ATGGCAAGAATATAAATTCTTTCAACCACTTTGGAAGACAGGCACTACCTACTAACACTACATCTTGTGACCCAGTAATGCCATCCCTGGCATATATTGAAGAGAAATGAATGTATATGTCCACTAAAATAAATGTACTAGGATATTCATATCAGCTTTAGCTTAATTGCCAAAAATTTGAAACAACCCAAATGTCCATGAACAGGAACATGGTGAATGTTATGCTATATTTTTACAATGTGATATCACACAGCAATGAAAAAAATGAACTACTGATATACATAGGAACTTGGGTGAACCTCAAAAACATTCTTGAGCAAAAGAAGCCAGACATGCCAATGGGTATATGCTGTATAATTCTGTTTATATAAAGTTAAAGCAAAGAAAAGCAATCTAATTTATGATTGGGATAATATTGGTGATAAATGATTGGTGATCAGAATGGTGGTTACCTCTGAGGGTCAGTTATTGACTTAGAAGGAACACCAAGGAACTTGCTGGGAGAATTAAAATGTTTTTAATTTTAAAACATTTTTTTAATTTTAAAGATATGGAGTACAATTCAGGATTAGGTATACAAGTGATCATCGAACAGGTAAAGTTTGGGCTTCCCTTTGGTCCCCACTTCTCCTGGTTTGAGATCAGGAACTCTTTTTATTTTTTATTTATTTTTTAATTTTTATTATAAAGATATGGGGCACATTTCAGGGTTAGGCATATAAACATTGATCATGCCGGTACCCTTGTTCTGAACTCTTATTGATGTTATGTGCCCCTCCCCACTCCCCCACCCCCAGCAGTGTTCCAATCCCTTTCTTATGGTACTATGGTAAATGTTCAGGGTCCACTTATGAGTGAGAACATGTGGTACTCAGTTCTTTGTTTCTGTGATAGATCACTGAGTATGATAGACTCTAAATCCATCCAAGTTGCTGTAAAGTTTTTATATTTTCATCTGAGCTGTGATTACATGGATGTTACATATAAGTATTAGAGTTGAGCTTTATAGTGATCTATACTTTACTATATTTAAATTATACCTTAATAAAAAAGTATGTCTTGTATGTATCACCTTTTTGGCCTGTGAGATTATTCCTCAGGTATGTTTATATAGGCATGATATTGCTTGATCACTGGGATATATATGCAGTCTACAAGTGTGCCTATTTCACCACATCTGTGCCAACATTTGGCTTATTCAAGTTTCTTACTTTGAGGTCAGTCTAATGGATATATTCTTCTGTGAATTTCTTGTTCCTATGATTTTATCTTTTCTAACCATATAGTTTTTGCTATTTCTTCTTGATTTACACCTAATTTTCTCATTTTATTTTTCATAGAGGCTTTTTTCCTCCCCAGATGCACTAGCTTGGGGAACTGTTTACTATATTCTAGATATTTGTTCCTACAGAAATTAACTCAAAGGGATCTTCTATTTGGAACACTAATTAAGCTTTTTATTTGTATTCTGATGACTTCCATATTAACACCGCCAGTTGCTATACTATAATTTTGCACTAATACCTCACTTACCTGCATACTGGACTATTCTCATAGAATATTCTATTTTTTCATCCTCAGTATGGGAGGGATTGATGTCATCATTGCCCAAATCAGGAATCTTCACATTCCTAATTCTGTCAGATTCTGCTGTGTTTCTTGTTTCTTCCCTCTTAGTTATCTTCTTACTAGTTACTCTGCAACTCCTATTTTTTCTTTTTTAAATACCACTACTTAGATAGCATCTTATCTTAATTCACAGTAGCATTACCCCCAAACGGGTCTATATTTTCTTATGCTTCAGTTATTCTTTTCCTAATGGGAGCTGCAGGTTCCATTCTTATTTCTAGTTCATCTTAAATGCTACTGACAGATTTTATTACCTGAGATGTTGCATTTATCTTTGTCATTAGCTTTATGACATAAGCTTATGGCTACTCCATATTTTATGACACATGATCAATAACTCTTCTTTCAGTGCCATCTACAAGATGGCCATTATTTCCAGTTTAAAATTGTATCTGTACAGTTTCCTTAATTCTTGTTTTCCTCAAATTGTTCACCTTGTCTTTAATACCTACCATATATGAAGTAGGTCTGTGCATCTAGGATTTTTATTTTTTGCTCTGCCTGTCCACATAATAGACATTTTCTTTTTGGATCCAGGCTCTCATCTAGTCTATGTAATGGTCCTTACCTACTCCAGATTTAATGCTCTTGCTCATGTCTGTTTCCCCATGTCCCAGATGCTTTTGCCCCCTGTCATTTTTGAGAGTCTCTGAAAATAAGAGCTTGTATTGTACTTTCATTATTCAAATACTAAGCATGAAGAAGATACTTACCAACATTAACTAACTGAATTTTTAATGGAAAGAATGGAAACTGTTTTACTCTTTTTCAGGAGGATTTTTACAAATTCTACTGAAAGGAATTCAACAGATATAAATTGTTATTGGAAAGTAAAGACAATGACATCCAGTATTTAAAAGTTTATCCTTTGTACATTTTATTTCTATTATAATAGAAGTCTGTTACAGTGATTAGCAAAATAAATTGCATAGAGAGTGCCTACTTTTGAAGTTCAGAAAAACATGGGTTTGATTAGATTATGTGGTGTGATTAGATTAATTTCCAAAGTAATAAAAACTGTTTCAGAAAGCACACATATCTTTTTTAACAGCATAAAAGAAAATGCTAAGCAAGTTTAACAGGAGAAGAGGACATGAACATGTCCTTTGATTTGAAAATAAACTAGATGAGTAGGATGTAAGCTTGCACGAGCAGCTCTTTGTCTAGACTAATAACTCTTCGTTTATGTACTGTTCATAGAATCTGTGAGCTTAGGAAGGGTGTAGAGAAGCTTGGTATTACAGGAACAATTTTTTTACAATGAGCATTGGTGCTGGTGATCTAAGAAATATTGTTTGGTATAGCAAGGGGTTATAAGTTAAATAAAGTGAAAGGCAGAATTGCTTTTAAAACCATGCCTTGGAATCCAGTGCTCAATGCCTCCAAAATAAATTAAAGCCAAATATGTGAGAATGAAAATTCAGCTTAAGAATAGGAGGATATCATTTTGGATGGGACATGTGTCTGGAGGACAGTATCACACAGATTAAAAGGGGAAAGCTGGATTTGATGACTTAGAGCATTCTCAGTCTCTTAAATCTTTTACTGAATAAGTCAATAGCATATTTCATTTTAAAATTATTTATCAGGAACTAATATGTCTCATGCACTGTATTGGGGGTTCTAGCAGAAAAGCACAGCTACTTGTATACCTTTGGCTGAAGAAGTCTCCCTCTCTTGGGGAAAATAATCTTCAGCCAAGTGTGCAGCTTCAGGAAGGACACACGTGGAGCAGTGAGGGAGGAAGGGGACACCCACTTAGCCAGCCTGATCAGCTGAATCAACCCTGGTGATCAATGGGGTGACAGATACTACAGCCAGACCACCTTCACATCCATCGTGGCACTAAACTGGGAATAGAAACATCTGTGATACCCACTCTGGGCAGGAATCATGTATGATTTATGTTAATGCTAATTTGCAGTACTAAGGAATTTTATTTCTCTTTATAGAAAACCTCCATGCTCATGTGTGTTCAGGAATCCAGGCTTCTTTCAACACATCACCATCTCTTAGGTTTTCAAACATCTGCATGTTTGAATCTGTGTTGCTACTGAGTCCAGGTTTTAGAAAGCAAGAAGGTAGAAGTGAGCATGGAGAAAACATGCCCACTGTCTCAATGCTCTCACTTGAAAGTAGCACCATCATCTTCTCTCACATTGTGTTGATGAGAACCTTGTCAAATGGCCTCACCAGTTTTCAAAGGAAGCTGAGAAATGTTCTATGACTGGAAAACCAGTTGCCTGCCTGCTACTCTGCTAATGCAAAAGAATGGAGAAACAGATTCTAGCGGACAGTTTTCAGTCTCTACCACAGATGGCTTGTCCTCACTTCTATTTTTTGTCAGATACGTGTAAATTAGGGCCAAGAAAACAATTGCACCTGAATGGAGAGTTAGAATATAGACATCTATGTATAGGTTTGTATAGGTTAGGATGGCTATGGCCACAATATTTTACCTATGAATATGAATGGTTTTTATCACATTAATTTGATTTTTTGCTAGTAAGCAAAATGAAGCAGCATCATTAGTGAAGGTTTAGAATTGAAAGCTAATGAGGACTTATCAGGTCTCCACAGATATTTTCCCTGAAAGCCCTTGTCTTAACTATCTTCTGTCCACCTTACTTGATAGCCAAGCTTCCTACCAAAATAGAGCTAGACTGCTTATGTTGAACTCCAACCTCTGACACTTAATCAATGTATTTTAGTACAAATTATATAACCATTATGAGCCTCACTTTCCTTCTCTCCAAAAGGTGGGTGATAATAGCAGATACCTCATGGGGCTTTTGAAAGGATTAAATGAGTTCATAGGTACAGTTATGTATCACATAATGACATTTGATCCCTTAATATTAATGAAGTTGAATGTTTTCTATTGCCTAGTGACATCGTAACCATTTGTAATGTAGCACAATGCATTGCCTTTTCTATATTTAGATACACAAATACTTGACATTGTGTAAGAGTTGCCTACAGTGTTCAGTATAGTAACATGCTATATACATTTATAGTCTAGAAGCAATAGGCTATGCCATATAGCCTAGGTGTGTAGCAGGCTAGACCATCTAGGTTTGTTTAAGTACACTCCACGGTGTCCACACAATGACAAAATAACCTAACAACAGCTTTCTCAGATGTATCCCTGTCATTAAATGACACTTGATTATACACATATCTTTCTTAGAACAGTGCCTGGAATATTGTGTCTTGTAAGAGGTTGTCACATAATAAGGGCTATATATGTATTTCCTGTCATCATCATCATTAGATTTACTGATTTCCATGTGTTCAATTATATTAGCTTATATGCACCTTTTAATCTTCTGCTATCTAATCTTTGTGTCAATTTTACTTTGTCTTTTTAGATGGGAAGTTTGGAATTAAGACCTCACAAAAAAGAATTGCTGGAAAACCTACATTTTGCAATAAAATGGAGGGTGAAGACACAAGAGATGATTCACTGTATTCTATTTTAAAAGAACTGTGGCAAGATGCTGATCAGATAAAGAGATGTCAGGAAAAACAAAATAAACTTCTGAGTCATGCTTCTTTCATCAATAAGAAAACATTGAATACTGAGTGGGATTATGAATACAAGGACATTGGAAAATTTGTTCATTCAAGCCCAAATCTCATTCTTTCACAAAAAAGGCCCCATAAACGTGACTCATTTGGGAAGAGTTTAAAGCATAATTTAGACTTGCATATTCATAATAAAAACAGTACAACAAAGAATTTTGACAAAACTATTGGGCATGGTCAAGTTTTTACCCAGAGTTCTTACACTAATCATGAAAATACACACACAGGAGTGAAGTTCTGCGAACGTAATCAATGTGGAAAAGTCCTTAGCCTCAAACACTCACTCAGTCAAAATGTGAAATTTCCTGTTGGGGAGAAAGCAAGCACATGTACTGAATTTGGAAAAGTCTTCACCCCGAAGTCTCACCTCTTTGCACCTCAGAGAATTCATACCATGGAAAAACCTCATGAACTGAGCAAATGTGTAAATGTTTTTACACAGAAGCCACTACTCAGTATATATCTGAGAGTTCATAGAGATGAAAAACTGTACATATGTGCTAAATGTGGGAAGGCCTTCATCCAGAATTCAGAATTAATTGTGCATGAAAAAATTCATACTAGAGAGAAACCCTATAAATGCAATGAATGTGGAAAATCATTTTTCCAGGTCTCATCTTTACTCAGACATCAGACAACTCATACTGGAGAAAAACTCTATGAATGCAGTGAATGTGGAAAAGGCTTCTCCCTGAACTCAGCCCTCAATATACATCAGAAAATCCATACTGGAGAGAGACATCACAAATGTAGCGAGTGTGGGAAAGCCTTTACTCAAAAATCAACACTCAGGATGCATCAGAGAATTCATACAGGAGAAAGATCCTATATATGTACTGAATGTGGGCAGGCCTTCATCCAGAAGGCACACTTAATTGCACATCAAAGAATTCATACTGGAGAGAAGCCTTATGAATGCAGTGACTGTGGGAAATCTTTTCCTTCTAAGTCACAGCTCCAGATGCATAAGCGAATTCACACAGGAGAGAAACCCTATGTATGTACTGAATGTGGGAAGGCTTTCACTAACAGGTCAAATCTCAACACTCACCAGAAGTCTCATACTGGAGAAAAGTCTTACATATGTGCTGAATGTGGGAAGGCCTTCACTGACAGGTCAAATTTCAACAAACACCAGACCATTCATACTGGAGAGAAGCCCTACGTTTGTGCTGATTGTGGGAGGGCCTTCATCCAGAAGTCAGAGTTAATTACACATCAGAGAATTCATACTACAGAGAAGCCTTATAAATGTCCTGACTGTGAGAAATCCTTCTCCAAGAAGCCACATCTCAAAGTACATCAGCGAATTCACACAGGGGAGAAACCATATATATGTGCAGAATGTGGAAAAGCTTTCACTGACAGGTCAAATTTCAATAAACACCAGACAATTCATACTGGAGATAAACCCTATAAATGCAGTGACTGTGGAAAGGGCTTCACCCAGAAATCAGTTCTCAGTATGCATCGCAATATCCATACATGAAAGTAACCTTGTTTCTTGAAAATGAGAGAGCCTTATCACAGAAGTCAAGTCTAAGTGTATGTTTTAAAATATATCAATGACAGAGCTTATGTGAATACATCATAAAAGAAAGCATGCATTGGCTGTCTCACCTGAGATTTTAAAATATTCAGAAGAGACCCTCGAAGAATTCACTGAAGGAGGGACAATTTCCATATTTGTGCGGCCTCACAAAAGATAATAGAAGACATACAGGGAAAAATACTGTCAGTTTGATGTGTTGGGAAAGGCTTCCTATAGAAAGTATTATAAGGCAAATTGTTACTAAATTATTTATAGGAAGGGGGTGCAAAATTATATAAATGACAGTCATGTTTACTGTGTTATATTAAGCAACTTCAAGTGATGACAAAATGAAAGGTAGGACAACAAAATAATATAACTGATGTGTAGACCTACTCTCAGTTCTATAGGGTATTTGTGGCAGAACACATTGCATAACAGGAGGAATCATTGAATTGAAATTCTTTTTTCAAATTTAGATAATTATGTTTATCAAATATGTTTCTTATTGGATGTTTCTATCAAGTAGATCCACAGTTTTGAAGTCATTTTGGTTTTATATATACATACATCTGTAGATATAATTTTACTTGAACATATAAATATAGTCCTATTATTCATACTGATTTCGAATTCTTATACATGACATAGAATTCTTATTTTCTTTCATTGTGGTACAATGCAAAACAGATTCCTCCCATCCTTTTATGCATGCCCCTTTGCAATGTTACTTTGTTGTATGTCTTATTAAGAAGTAACATCTCTTTCTCTACTCCTTGACTTTGAACGTGGCCATGTGACTTGCTTTGGCCAATGGACATTAGCAAAGAGATACAAGAAAAAGCTTGAGAAGTGTGAAAAGCTTGCCTTGAGGTTTGTCCTCACTTGCTGCTCTTTGGAATCCTGAGACTTCCATGTGAGGAAGCTCAGATTACCCTGCTGGGGGATGAGGAAACACGTAGAGCAGAGGCAAGCCAGCCCTGCTGACTCCTCTTAGACCAAGTAGCCTGACAATTGTCAGACATGGGAGTGAGGCCTTCCTAGACCTCCAGCCCCAGCCAAGCCAGCCCAGCCCAGAAGGGCCGTACCAGTTATTCCTGCCAACTTACAGAACTTTGAGATAAATAAAATGATTATAGTTTTAAGCAACTTAAGTTTTGTGGTAGTATGTTGCACAGCAAATGCCAAATGATACTTAAAAGTGGGGGACCATTGGACCAAAATATGAGACATGTGGCATAGGCTTTGGGCCTGGGTGGCAGGCGGAGACTGGAAAAACAGTGAAGAAAGCTGTTTACAAAGGCTAGAAAGAAGGCAACTCATGTTATTTAGTAAGGGGGAAAATGGCAAAGCAGCCACCAAGCACTGTGGGAAGATAGAGAATGGACCAAATGAACTTGTGGATCTGGCTTAGGACATTTGCAGCAGAATATGAGAAGTGTCTGTTTGCTTCTTTTAGCTGCATGTGATAAAAGTACATAAAGAGAGAAACTAAAGAAATAACTGTGCCATTGACAAGCAGAATTCAGAGGAAATACAGAAAAGCCAGGACTTGCTGAGTTGGAAAATAACTTTCACATCACTAGTCTCTCCAGCCAGCAAAACATTCTCAAGGTAAAAAAAAAATGGCCTCAGGATAAAGATCAAATCATGAGTGTGTTTGTAAGACCCTTTATTATAACTTGTGAAATATTTAAGTTGGTGCTGGGGAGATCCTCTCAGCAAAATTTAGCGTTCATAAAAATCTTCATGACATTGTTTCACAGTGGCCTGGCACACTGCTCAAAGTGGAGACAAGCTTCTCTTAAAAAGAATTGTTGGTGTGGCATTTGGGGAATGGAGTAGATCCGAACCAGATTCATAGGAAACCCATAATGTTTTAATAGTTTTACCAGTGAAACTACCTCCTTGGACTTCCAGGAACTGAAACAGTTCAACATGAAAAGTGGCCTCTGGATTCCTCTCCCTAAACTTCTATGAACAGAATACAAGCTGAGAAAGTTATTCAGCTGCAAACATGGACTGTTTCTTATGGGAATTGAAGGGTGTCTCAGAGGGAAGAACCAAGAACAATTATATTAAAATGGACTGTGGAGCCATTCCCAGGGAGACCAGTGCCCTAATCAAAAAACATTATCTTCCCCTGGAGCCGGGGACACTGACATTTGCTCTGTGGATTTCAGAATGGTTATGGAACAGTGACTAATATGTGCCTGTTGTTCCTCCTCTTTTTTGAATGGGAGTATCTATTACAGCTATCCTGTCCCTATCTCACCATTGTGTGTGTGTGTGTGTGTGTGTGTGTGTTAAGGGGGACATATAACTTGTCATTTAGCTCACAGGTGTCTGGATCAAGAAACTAAAAAACTGTACCCAAGGAGCCTCAGTCACATCTGAACATGGTACAGAAGACTTGAGATTCCTGGATTTGAGTTTGATGCCACACTTTTGGATGAGACATTTGGAGGTCCTAGAATGAGAGTGAACATATTTTGCATGGAGTAGTAATGTGAATAATTTGTGACTAGAAGACACACTGTGTTAGATTTTTAAAATGCTATAGATTTATCCCATCTCTGTATGTGTGTCCCTCTTCAGACTTTATTCTTTGTGTTTCAGTTAGGATAATTTCTGTTGATCTATCTTCAAGGTTACCAAATTTTCTCCTACCCTGGCTCTGTCAAGTTTAACATTGAAGGCATTCTTCATCTAAGTTATTTTTTATTTTGACTATTTCCATTTGACTCTTACTATGTTCATATTTTTGCTGAAATTTCCCATCTGTTCATGCAGGTTGTTCAAATTTTCCACTATATTCCAGCAGTCAGTTTATGCTGCTATAACAAAGTACCAGAGACTAGATGTCTTATAAACAATATAAATTTATTCCTCATAGTTCTGGAGGCTGGAAGTCTGAGATCAGGGTGCCATCATGGTTAAGTTCTGGTGTGGGCCCTCTTCCAGGTTACAGACTGCTGACTTCTTGTATTCTCCCATGGCTAAAGCTAGAGAGCTCTCTGGGATCCCTTTTATAAGGGCACTAATCCCATTCATGAGGGCTTCATCCCCATGACCTAACTACCTCCCAAAGGCTCCACTTCATAATACCATTACATGAAGGGTTAAGATTTTAACATACGAAGTTTGGAGGGACACAAACATCAGCCCATAGTACCCTCCAACATAGTCATCATAGTTATTTTAAATTCCCTGTCTGGTAGTTCCAACTACTAGGTCAACTGAGTCTGGGTCTATTGATTGCTTTATCTCTTGATAGTGGGTTGTTTTCTCTTGCTGTTTTTGCATCTAATGATTTTTGGCTGATTGTTGGATGTTATGTGTAGGACAGTAAAAACTGATGTAAATAATATTTGTTCCTGGAAATAGACATGGCTGCTCTTTTGCTAGCTCATTAGCATGGGGAAATTGGGTCCATCTAGTCAGGAGTTGGTCTGGGTTTGGGTTTTGCTGCCAAGGTTATGTTGTGCTTAGGATAGGCACTGGTTTGCCCAGAGAATTGTTCCCAGTGTTCCTGGACCACACTTGCCTTTAGACCTTTGGCCTTTCCTGTGTGCCTGCACCTCAGAGAGGGTCACTCTCCATTCTCTTGCCTCTCCCTTAGTAGTCTGCTATTATTGCCTGGTTCTTGCTGACCTAGTGAGTAAGGAGCAGAGGTTGTCCTGAGCCAGCCGCAGTTGTATCCCTGGGTCTTGAGGGTGTTTTTTTGTTTGTTTGTTTGTTTGTTTTTTCTCAGCAATCCTGCCCTTCCGCCACTGGTAGAAGTCTTTTAATGGCCTGGGCCCAGGATGGTTTCCTGCCCTTCTATCATGGGCGAAGGACTTTTTTTCCTTTTCCTTCCTCCTCCAGTTACTGAGGATCTTCACCTATGTCCTGAGGGCAATAGAGTTTGCTGCATGTATCCCCAATGGCTTAAGGTTTTTGTTCTGTAGGGGAGTAGGATCCCCTGGGGCTTTGTGTCATTTCTGTATTAGCAGCTGCCTCCCCACCCCACAGGCCTATACCATGGAGGGAAGCTTTCTCCAGTCTCCTGCCCTGTCCCCAATGTTTCTTATGAGCACTCAGTGGAGGTCTATGGAGAAGAGTCTGCAAGTGGGGGCCAACTACACTTAGGCCTTCACCTCTTGGGTTTCCCACACTCAGCCCTTAGCAATTAAAATTCTTGATGAATTTTTACTGCTTATATGGTGGCCCCATCTTCCTTCCTGCTTTGCTACAGGTGACCCAGTGTTAACTTCCTGTCTCTTTTGAAGCACTGACCAATTTCAAGCTAATTGCTTGCTCTGTGATCTTAGCTCTCTGATGGAGTCAAGAAATGTTATGATTCTGTAGATTACAGAGCTTTTTTCTTGTTATAAGGATGAGAGCAGTGTTCTTTCTAGATGTTTACATTCCAGGCAGATGCTAGAGAAGTCTATCAGAACATACATCCTTTTCAGTGTGACTTTGCCACTTCACCAATCAAGAGATGGAATCTATTTCTTCAGCACTTGAAACTGGTCTTGGTCATTTCTTTGACCAATGGGACATTAGCAAATACAAGGTCTGACAAATTAAGTTTATGAGCTCATCTTAGAAAAAGTGATACATACACCTGATTACTGAATATCATTATGATCACCTGTGAAGTACTCCCCTTAGGAAGCTACGCACCAATGCCAGTGCCTAGTCCACTTGTCAAAGCAATTTTGGAACTCTTTTTCTGGAATGGCCATCAGAGTTGCCATCCAAATGGCTTTCTTTCAATATTTTCTTATCTTTGGGTAAAGAAAAAAGTAATTGGGGGCCAGATCCGGTGAGTAGGGAGGGTGTTCCAATACACTTAATTGTTTACTAGCTAAAAACTCCCTTACAGACAGTGTTGTGTGAGCTGGTGCATTGTCGTGATGCAAGATCTCCTTTGGGACCATTTTTGCACATACCTTTCTCATGTCAAGAGT